CAGGTGGGAGGAACAAGTGGAGAAGGCCTTGTGGCGGCCAGCTGCAGATGGGATCCATAAGATAGTAGCCAGGATACGCCCATAGGAGCTCAAGATGAGGCCAAAGGGGCAGAGGATGATGAGGGCAGCAGCCAGGATAATCTGTAATTCATTGAGTGAAGTGTCTCCACACACCAGCTGCAGGACAGGCTGGATCTCACAAAAGAAGTGAGGGATGGCGTTGGGGCCACAGAAGGGAAAGGAGAAGATGAAGGAGGTGTGGCCAAGACCCACCATGGCTCCACAGGCACAAGCTGAGCCTGCGAGCTGCAGACACACCTGGTGGCTCAGCAGCAGCGGGTAGCAGAGGGGCTCGCAGATGACTGCATAGAGGTCATAGGCCATGACCACCAGGAGGTAACACTCGGTGGCACCAAAAAAGAGGAAAAAGAACATCTGGAGGGCACAGCCCCGGCGGGGGATGTGGCGCTGACCAGTGAGGAGGTGGTGAAGCAGCATAGGCACCGACCGATGTGTCCCTAATCTCCAGGAGGAGAGGATTCGGAGGAAGAAGTACATGGGGGACTGGAGTGCAGGGTCCCCTGAGACCAGCGCCACAATGAGGAGGTTGCCTGTGACGGTGAGCAGGTAGACCATGAGAAAGAGAGAGAAGAGCAAGCCCTGGACGTGCGCCAGGCAGGAGAAGCCTACAAGAACGAATTCAGTTACCACCATGGAAGCGTTCGTGCTCATCCTGCTCACATCCCTTTTGATGGGAAGAAAAAGACAAGGCAAAGAAGAGTCGCCACCGGTATAGAATAGTGAGGAGGTCAAAAATGACCTCTCTCTGCATTGGATCAAAGCCCTGGAACTCCCTTTCTTTTAGGCTTTCAGTGTCTTTGAAATGAGGCAGCCCAACTGCCCCCACCCTGGCCCACTCTTGGAACCCTGGGCAAATATTTGTCTCTCTGAGACCAGCTGCCTTGATCTCTTCCTGATGGTGCCTACCTTCAGATAAAGCATTGAATTTGGGTTGGTTTCTCCTGGGTGAAGTGTTGGATCATTCTAACACCCTTTTCTCTATTTCCCAGCCTTGCTGTAGGGCTGGGGATGGAATTTTCCCTCCCAGCAGATATTTTTCTGCTCAAAGCCAGACTTTGTTCTGTGTTCAGGACATGAAAAAACCCATTCCAAGTAAAGAGGATTTCCTTTCCTATTTGTCTCCCTCCTGACGCTTTTTCTTTTTCTTTTCCTTTTTTCACATGTTTTTCTTTTCTCTCAACTTGGCTTTTCTCTGGCCTAATGTTCACCTCTTCCTCTCTATTTCCTGCCCCTTTCCAGCTATTATTCCAGTTACCAGATGCCTTTTTCTATCATTTCACCATGAGATGAACTTCATGGTTTTCAGTGGGGAGAGAAGGGATTGGATAGATCATTTCTTTTAAGGTCCTGAAGGCAGTTGAGTAGTTCAGTTTTCCAGAGGATATTTCTAGTTTAAAAAAATGCTCTGGAAGGAGATAACAAGACCTTTCTCAGTTGCTTATTTCTGCATCTTACAGCCTCTCAAACTTCATCCCTTTATATCATACCACATATACAAATCCCCAGGCCACTTAAATAAATTCTACATATGCATACACTAACATATTGTGTTTCTAAATATAAGCACAGGAGAATAACCTAAAATCCTCAGATGCTAGATTCACTTAAAGTCAAATACACACACTGTATACAAATGCAAACTACAGATAACAATGAAAGTCAAAACTCATTTAACATAGAAATATTAACATGGAAAGACACAGACAAATAGATACATAAATCAAAATTCTGTGCAAAATAACCATATTTAAGAATGCATATTAGAAATACAAGTGCACACATTGATATCCTTTTGCAGTTGAGAATCTCTGGTTTATTCCATGTTGTTCAGTGTTTTCCAGGATATTGTTGGAATAGTGTTTCTCTGTTTGGAGAAATAACTAGTCTAAAGGCAGGTAGCATTTGATAACTTGCATATTTTATCCTCTCTTTACATAGCAGATCCTCGTGAGAAACATAATCGTAGGTTTGGTGTCTCCGTAAGGTCTCTGAGGACCTGAGTCTCCAAGTATACTTGACTTTCCAATGGGAAATAACTAATTAATCTGTTATTTTAGAGTTAGTTCCTTAGATCACCAAAAGTATAGGATGACCTGTCAAGAATATTTCAGAGACAATGTCCAGGAATATTGGTTTCTTTTAACTCTCCCATAATATCTCTGGGTTGATCTTTTTTATGTTCTTTTCCTTTCTCAAAATTTTTTCTCTCACTGTCAATGTCCTACTACACCTACAAAAAGTAATAATGTCATTTTACCTATCTTATGGAATTTGATATAGTTTAATAATAAATTTATTTTTAGCTATACACAGAATCTCATGTATTTCAGTTATTTTTCATAGAATTAAGAATATAGACGATACATAAACATATTTTGACTAGTGAGCTGATTGATAATTGTTATTTTCTTGAAAACTGGTCCTGAATTTTTCTTGCTTGGATTTTTTTCACTTATTATACAAGTGTCATCTTTACATTATTAGATTTTCAATTTAATTTTTGATCTGTTTCTTTGTGTTCTTACACACTTTCCTACATTTGATAAATTCTGCATCAGAAAAGATGTTTCTAAGACATGTAACAACTGTTACAATAATAAGCCTCAAACTCAAACTGGTTTAAAAATGAGCTAATTTATATGTTCCTGTACCTATAACTTTGGGATTTGCTTACATTAGATCTCCCACTTAGTTTTCTTTACATCATCTGTTTTATTAGGTTTGGCTAAAAGTAATAGAAATACCAGTGGCTCAAAGAGGATGAAAATTAGGACTGGGGAAGTAGTTCAGTGATAAGAGCATTTGCCTAGCATGTGTGTGTATGTGTGTGTGTGTCCAGCACACACACATATACACACAGGACACACACATACAAACACACAAACACATCTATCACTATTAAAACCCCTCGCTACATATTATAGTTATATGTACTATATTGCACCAAAAATTTAAAAAAAAGAGGATAAAAATGTTTGTCTCACTTTATTGTCTGAAGCTCTGCATTTCAAAACAATATGGCTACTTTGATCTAAGAGGTCATCAGAAATCTTGTTTCCTGTCAGTTTATGAGTTTTCTGCTCCTGACGTAAGACCCTCTTATGGCTTAAGATGAGGGCATCCGTGTTTTAGGGAAGAGAACATAGTAGAACACTCTGGAATGTTTTGTGGCAGGTAAACATTCTATTAGTATAAACTATGTAGAATTCTTGCCAAAGATGTTTATAGCTTGAGTATAATTATAGGAAATAATCAGACAAACCCAATTAATGGCACATTCTGCAGACAATGGACCCAGACTCTTCAAAAATATTAATGGCTTTTGTTTTATCTTCAAAACAAAAGTTGAGGATAGTATTATTCTTAACTGAAGAAGGCCCCCAAAAAATGACAATAAAATGTCATGGCCCATGTCTGGATCCCAGATCATAAGAAAAAACAAAACAAATAGAAAAGACTTTTGAAACAGGAAATTGAATGTAGACTTTATTTTATTGCACCACTATTAAATTTCTTGGGTGTAATAATATTTTTGAGGAACACTTGACTTTAGAAAGTTGGAGAAGATCATATTTAAGGGCAAAGGGTTATCCTTACTGCAAGTTTGTTTAAAGTGGTTCATCCAAAAAAAAATAAATAAATAAATTATATATATATATATATATATATATATATATATATATATCCTTGACTCTGCTCTACTGGATGTTTGGATGTTTGTCTTTGTAAATAATCATCCTGTTCTTGTCTGTGGAGGCTGTGTAGATTTCACACTCTTTCTCCTATTACTTGGGCAGTGGACTATATTAGCAGGCAATAGTTATATGTTAGTGTAGCATGTTGCTGCAAGAGCAAGCAAATCAAAATTTTAGTGGCTTAATACAAAACAATTATTTATTAACCATACAGAATCTCTTGTGGGCTCAGATGACCCATTAACATAGCTGTGCTCCATGCAAAGCTCCATGTAACTTTGATCTTTTGACTTCACCATACTAACATTTGCTTTTGTATTTGCTATGAAGGAATGAGTTGGGGAATCAATCATCATCAGTTAAATTATATTATTTACATTTTTCTGATCAGAGCATGTCACATAGCTATGCCTAACTTCAAAGGGATTGTGGAAGATTGTACTTTCTAAAGGTACCCGTAAGAAGTCTTTCTTACCCGCACACTGTTCTACAATATCATCTTGCTTCTTCTCCATCAAAAAGGGAACCTACTTCCCCTAATTTGTTTAAATCCATTTGGGCTTTGATCATTTCAACCCATAGAGCAAGACGGATAGGATGATGTGTGATTTCTGAAGCTGGATAATAAAAGTGTTGCCACTTCTGCCTTGTGTCTTGGAATATTTACACTTGGACCCCCTTACCTACCATGTAAGAAGTCCAGCTACTCTGATGCTATTATGCTGTGAGGAACCAAGGCACATGTGGAATCCACAGGAGGCAATCAGTGAGCAAACAAATTAAAAATCATCCTAGACCAATACCTGACATATGAATAATGATTCCAACCAGAGGACTCTGGATCCCAGCTGTCAAACCACCCTTTAAATACTTTGTGTTTTCAAAGTTGATGTCTCATCCATTGTAGGGCAAGACAAGGCATCTTGCTTTGCTGCTATAGAATAACATTATATAGACATTTTCTTTCTCCTTCTAATTCATATGTTGAAACCTAACTCTCAATGTGGTAGGATTTGGAGTTGGGGCCTTTGGGATGTTCATGAGGATGGAATCCTCCTGAGTAGGATTACTGCCCTAATGAAAGAGTTGTG